GTATTCATCTTTTGTTATAGGTATGTATTATTACAATTTTAATACTGTTTTTTCCATTCTTAAAATATGTATACTTTTTTTTGGCACCCTCTGTATATATTAACATAAGTAAAATAATCCTCAATACAGCTTACTGTAGCATCTAGTACGTCAAATACTCAAAATAGTGATGATAATTTTTATCTTTTTCAATTTCTTAATTCATTCTACTTGAATTTATTCCACTTTTCACTTTTAGTCACTTGTGTCTCAAGATTCCATCAGTCAAAGCCATCTATAACATTTTATCTTTCAATTGCTAATTAAAAACATTTTATGGGTTGCTTTCATCCTTTGAAGGCATACCAGCTTTAAAGCCACACTATGGTTTCGAATGAAGCCTGTGTGTATTTTACAGAACATGGATGTGAGTCCTTTCTACATTTTAATGTTAGTGCTTTCTTATATATACCTCTTCCTGCATTACTCACTACTTCATAAATCAGAAGCTGAATCTCATTTTCTCCCTTAAAACAAATATAAGAATAATTTTCCAAAGCTTTATTTTTCCCACTTTCACAGAGAGATCACAGAAGTGGGGTACAAAGAAGAATCATTTAGAACTAAATTAATAATAGCTAAAAGAAAGGATAAAAAATATGAACTGTTATTTGAATCCTTTTATAAACATGGACAGTAGGAATTTTTTTCTCCCTCAGAACTCTATTAGAAGCTGAAGAGCTTTTATACATACCAACCAGCTATATACATTCTTTAAGTTGAACAAAGGCTCCCTAAATAGCAATAAGCTCTTCCTTTTCACCAAGGTCTATGTCTTTATCTGTTATTGAAAAACTCAGTTAAACCCTTGTTGCCTAGTGCTCTTTGTTCTGCTGATACTAATTAAGAGCATGAATGAAAATGGCCTCACATTCCTTTAATTTTATGATTGCCTATTAAGACTAGAACTAAAATATTTCCAACATGTTGTTTACAAAATATTGTAATTTGGGAAGCTGATCAATACCATAATAATAGAATGGTACAATGATTGAAATCATCATTCCATTTTTTCCCCCAGATTTTAAAAGTATTGTGATGTTTTCAAATGAAATTAGAGTCTGAGACAAGTAGAAGGAAGCAATATGATTACAAGATAAAGCAGTTTTTCATTTGCCCAACAAGCACCAATTAAGGGTCACGTCCAACACTGCAGAGGCCTGTGGGGGCATGAGTGACATGTGCGGGAGGAAGGTGACAGTGTTGCAAAGGAAGAACAGGGAAAGGGTATGAGTGCAGAACAGGGTTGGAAAACCAACCAAAGCAGGAAATATTAACAGAGGAGGCAGACGTTGCAATTTGTCAGTACCAGAATCCCATCATATAGTCTGTGGCTTTCCTCAAGTGGTTTTAAAATCAACAAACCCCACCTCTCCCCCTACAGCAAATAAACTTCCTATAGACTATGAAATAAAGTGGCCATCTAAAGTCAAATTCCTTTTAAAGTTTCTAACACTTTGGTTGACTTTGGTTTCTGAAAATTTCTGTCTAAATGTAAATCATAACATTTCCCCCCCCAGATACTTTCTTGCTACAACAGACAGGTTGTTTTCCCCCCATGATAAATTTTTGAACCTTTTTTTTTTTTTTTAGGGCAGGGGTGGGGAAGGGGATGGGGGTTGCAGCTCCAATTCAAGGTGACTCTGTATTATTGTTTATAGTAGTTTGTGATTTCTGCTGAATCATTTGATGCTTACTGGTTTGTTGTTGTTATTGTTTTGTTTTTCTGGAACCCTTACACTTTTATTTTAAACCTTTTATTTAAATCTGTATAAGTTCAACAGGAGATGGCAGTTAGTATCTAAATACAACTCTTCAATTTAAAAAAATCCTGAAAACTACAATGAGTTCCTAGTTGAATTTTATGACCTAAATTTATAACTAAGTAAAGGTAATAATTTAAATTTTTTTTTGAAAAATAGACCCAAAATAGGGTTTATTTTGCTTATATTGTTTTTCATTCAAATTTTCATGAAAAACAAGTTCAATGTGAAACCATGATTATTCTCTTAGCCAAGAACTATGAGAGGGTAGCAAAAGGAATGAGCAACTTGGAAGAGATGGTGCCATGGATTATAGGAGTGGACCATACTTTCGGTAAAGTGGGAGGGCTATTTCAACCTCACTATAAGACTGTTTTGGCATTAAAAACAATAACCAAAAGTAAACCTTATTTGAAATAAATTGATATTTCTCCAAATAGTTGGTAATACATTGTAAAAAACACAGTGATTTTAGACATTGCCAAACTAAAATTCCCATATTTTGTGAACTACCAACTTACATATCATATCCACTCAGCCAAGCTGTTTTCCTGCTGGTAACTTGAATTCCTGTTTTAAAACCGTGCCAATTCCTCTTGGGTGTTCTGGTGATGAAAACGACTTTCCCTAAGTTTTAGCCAAGACTTTTTCACAATAGTATCTTATGAAAAAGCCACAACGTTGGGGCACACCACAATGACCAGGCAGGGGAAAAGAAATATTTTAGAGACTTATTTTGATGTTTAAAATAATAGGGGGGAAAAAGATGTATTAAAAATAATATGCTAATTAATTTTTTGATATTTTTGGCACTGGGGGTGCCAAAAAATGTATACACATGAATTGTATTCATCTTTTGTTATCGATATATATTGGGTTGTTGGAAAAGTCATGACGTATTTTGTCTATGTTGTTCAAAGGTCATTTATTTATATAAAGAACAAAGATCAATCAATGATATATTGCTCATTTTGTTCAATAACCTTTTGCCATCTTTCAGTGAGCTTTATCATTCCTCGTTCATAGAAGGACCTGTCTTTATCTGAGAAAAACTGAACAAGGTGCTGATTTACAGCCTCAGCTGAATTGAACGTTATACCACATAAGGAATTTTGAAAAGAGTGAAACAAGTGGAAATCTGAAGGCGCAAGGTCAGGCGAGTATGGTGGATGTGACAACACATCCCATCCAAGCTCCAATAATTTTTGATGGGTGATCAAACTTGTGTGTGGTCTTGCACTGTCGTGATGGAACACAACTCCTTTACAATTAACAAGCTCTGGACGTTTCTGGATGATGGATTTGTTCAAACTGTCCAACTGCCGACAGTACACATTCGAATTGATTGTTTGGTTCCTCAGTAGGAGCTCGAAAAACACTACACCTTTAAAATTCCACCACACTGAGAGCATAACCTTCCTCTGATGAATGTTTGCTTTCTATGTTGTTTGAGGCGAATCATCATGTCGGGACCAAGACCGTTTGCGCACCACATTGTTGTCAACAATCCACTTCTTGTCACCAGTTATCAGTCGCTTCAAAAAAGGATCGTTTTCCTTACGTTTAATAAGCATATTGCAGATGTTTATACATGCTGTCAAATGAACTTCTTTGAGTTCATGCGGAACCCAAATATTGAGCTTGCCTATGTATCTCAGTTTCTTCAGGTGGTTGTGAACACTTGAATGATGGATGTTCAATATTTCTGCAATCTCTCATGTTGTGTAACGTGGGTTTGACTCGATCAATACCTTTCTTTTGTCATCAACCTTGGTGGGCCTCCCTGATGGAGAAGCGTAATTGAGATCAAAATAACAGGCACGAAATTTCGTGAACCACCATTGGCACTGACATTCTGGTAGAGCATTGTCACTGTAAACTTTATGCAACTTTTCACAAGCTTGACGTGCGTTCTTCCCTTTATGGAAGTAAAAGAGTAAAATATGGCAAAAATGCACAGCTTGGTCTTCCATCTTAAACTTGTAAAATCTCCAAAACTCAACCAAATTGCTCAATTATTTTTAGAATGAAGCTAGAACTGTCAGCTGTCAAATGACATAGGAATAACATAGATGCGAATGACTCTAGTACTTCCAAAAATGAACTAGTGCCATCTGTTGCAAACATGCATCATGACTTTCCCAACAACCCAATATTACTACAATTTTAATACAGTTTTTCCCTTTCTTAAAGTGTGTATACATTTTTTTGGCACCCTCTATATTCTGATTCCATATACCAAGTTTACTAAATACTGAATTACTGATTTTTTTAAAGCTGGTTATACATGTTTAAAATACATTGTTTTGTATAGCGGTGATAAACAAAAACAAATCAAACCAAAGAAAGAAGAGCACATAAGGATAAGCTCAGGGGAGTGTACCAGAAATGAGTAACAGTAGAAAATCTGACAGCTCTAAAACACTTTCAAACCCAAGGCACCCTTGTTATCTGAAGCAGATACACTATTGCTCTCTCACCTGAACATATTTGAAAACCATCCACCTCCAAAGAAAAGACAAGCTGGTTATGTAACCCATAGACCTCTATAGGCTATGAAGTGTTACAAGTTCCCAGTACCTCTATATGAAATATATATATATTTCATGTAAACACTTCATATATATTTATATATATAATTTTTATATATACATTTAAAAATTTTATATATACATTTAAATTTTTTATATATACATTTAAATATAATATATATATATATATGCATACATATACCATATTTCCCCATGTATAAGACGCTCACATGTATAAGACGCACCTTAATTTTGGGGCCTGAAATTTTAAAAAAAATTGTATTACATAAAGTTACTGAGCTCAAGTTTTATTCATCATAAAATTCATACAACTCCTCATCACTGTCAAAACTTCCAACCATTAGCTTGTCCTCTTCTGTGACTGATGACGAATCACTGTCTTCATATATTGCCTCGTCCTCAGTTCCATCTATGGCATTTGAAATCTACAACCACTGTACAAGATGCACCCAGTTTTTAGACCCCAAATTTTTCGAAAAAAGGTGCATCTTATACATGTATATATATACATATATACAGTATATACACATATATACGTGTATATATATATATATGATTTTGGAAGGTTTTTAAAAAAAATGTGACAATACCACAATCTGGGAAAAAGGAATAATACCATAATCCAGCTGAAAGGTTGAAATCTGACCTGATTGATGGAGTTGGCAGCACAAGATGCCAGGCCCGTTCCAAGAAAGGTAAGCAGGAAACAGGACCAGTCAAAAGGCCCTGGGGCCAGTGCGAATCCAGCTGACGTGGTGCTGACAACTAGAGCTGCAACACAGAAACAGAGCGCATGTCTTGTTATTAACGCATGTTCCAGACTGCAAAAGCCAAAAAACATGCCATCTTCCATGTAAACCAGCTGATTACATTAACAACACAAACTATAGGCTAATCTTGCACTAAAAATTTTTTAAAAAGCATTTTTCTGATTATAAAAATTATATGTGTTCATTACAGAAGAATGTTCACTTCCCTTTAATTCCATTATACTTAGAAAAAAAGGTGGGTATTTCAGATTCAATCATTCCCTTATTAATTCAACAAACATTTACTGGGTACCTAACTGATGATCAGTACTATGCTGGGCATTAAGCATTGTATGGGATAAAAGTATGCAAGGTCTCATTTCTGCTTTCAGGGAACCTACTTGACTGGGAGATGATAGACATACATTAATAACTATATAACACAAAGCAGCGAAGAATAAGCATCCTAATTCTGTGACAAGCTCCAGGCAACCTGAGTGGAGGGCTTGCCCATAAGAGATGATGGTCCCAGGGGCCAGCGGATGATTCGAGTATGACTAGAGAGAGATGATAATGCCACAGCCATCAACAGGAACAAAAAGAGGCAAGGTGTGGAAGCAAAGCCATACAATTCAAGCATCCACAACTCGTCTGCTTCAGGCCCTGGTCCTTCTTTCCTGGGGTCTACAGAAGCTGACAGAGCCGGAAGAAAGTGTCTAAGAGTGGTACTGATACAGGGCTGTAGAAACTGGAAAAATGACCACCACTGGTGGGCTAATCGGGGAAGGCTTCAAGAAGACATTTAAGCTGTACCTTCAGTAGGAGGTGTAGGAAAAGGAGCATAGTGGGGTGGGCAGCATGACAGGTGGCTGGACAACTACAAGGACAGACACAGGGGCAAGGGACCAATGCAAGGAGTATAAAGTATGCATGACATCTGCACAGATCTTCCCACTGAACATCTAGAAGCATTTCTGAGTCTCTCCTTTCTTACCCTTCTCTACATCTCATCTGCTGCAAAGGACTGCCTGCTCTTCCTCCACAGTGCATTTCAAACCCGTCTCTATTGCCACCATCTAGTCCAGTGGTTCACAACAAGAGGTGATTCTGCCACCAGGGCACATCTGGCAATGCCTGGAGACATATTTGGTTGTCACAAGTGGAGGGGATGGATACTGCTGTGCTCTAGTGGGTGGAGGTCAGGGATGCTTCTAAATGTCCTATGCACATAGGACAGTCCCCTACAACACAGGATTTTCTGGCTCAAAATATCAATAGTGCTGAAGTTGAGAAACATGCTATCTACTCCAACCTATTACCTTGCTGGGACAATTTCAAGGGCCTCCCTCCTAATGGCTTCCTTGCTTTCACCCTGCCCCTCTCCTGAATGATACTTTAAAAATGTCAACAGATCCTACCACTCTGCTGCTTAGAAAACCCCTTGATACTACACGTGGAATAAAATGCAAACTCTTTCCCTGCCGTATGAGTGCATCTTATACCTCTCTCTAGCTCACTCACTGGTCTCCCATCACAAGGGCCTCCTGTTCACTAAGCACACCAGCTCCTTCTTGCCTCAGGGTCTCTGTACGTTTGCTTCCTCTGCCTCTTTCCCTGGCTGGCTCCTTCCCATCCTTCAGATCCCGTCGTAACTAGTACTTCGTAGGGAGAACTTCCCTGATCATCACATGGCTAGCAGGCCCTCCCACTCACTCCTTCGCTTACAGCATCCTTTCTTATCCTTTACGGCGCTTGTCACACTGTGGCTCCTCACTGGAAGGCAGGAACTGACTGTTTCACTGCTGTATTTTCAGGGTTACCAAATGCCAGGGTAGAGTAGCACTGACCAGAGGGAGAGCAGGGAGGGTGGTGGCTATCAGACTGCAGATACCAAGTTGAGGAGCTTGCCTGTTGTTTGGGTGGCAGTAGAGTCACCGAAAGTCTGATGCAAGGAAATGATTAGGTAGCAATGGGCAAAGTGATTACTACAGGCAGAGTTATGCAAAGAAATCATCTGAGAGGCTGTAGCATTAATCCACTGTGAATAAGGGTAGTAAAAGTGGGAACCAAATAGATATAAGGGGTGTTTTGCTGGGACAACTGTTAGGACTTGGTAACTGTGGAAGGGGGGAAGACAAACCAAAATAACAACAAAAAAGAATAAAAGGTAAAGGGATACCCCGGTTGACATGGCGAAGAATAATATCATTAACAGAAATAAGGAAATAGGGGAAAAGGTGAGCTAGCCAGCTGGTCTTAGGAAAATGTGTTACTTTTGAGGAACCACAGGACATCCGGGTAGAAACGTACAGAAGGTAGAAAAAACATGAAACTGGGGCTCAGGAGAGACTGGAGACCAGAGAGGGGCTCCAAGCTCTGCAGTCACGTGTCTACAGCCCACAACTGAGCCCGAGGGAACAGATGAGATCAAAGGGGACAGCCAGTGCAGGGGAAAGGAGGGATAAGACCTCAGAGCTTTACACCTGGGGGGAAAGGAAATCAAGACAGACACAAAGTATCTGGAGACAAGAATCAGGAGGACAGGGTATCACAGATGTCAAATAAACACGTGAGGGGCCACCGGAAGCAGGACTGGAAGACACCACCGCTGACATCAACAAGTAAATCCTAGAGAAACTGGTGATTCTCCTACTGATCACAAATTGGTTGGCATGCCCTTCAGTCTAGCTTCACCAGCAACAGACAGAAACTCGTTGGAGTCCCACCCTAGGGACAAGCCCTGGCCCCAATACCCAGGCCAGGCACAGGCTTCTTGATAATATTTCCATTATTTCTTTGATTGGGTTTGATGACAGTTACAAAGGTGACTTCAATACACATGTGGAGATTGTCAACCCAAGCCAGAAGTTTCCAGACAGCATGCATTTTGGCAAAGAGGTCCTTTCTTTGACTCAGTGGTCCCCACCTATGGTGTGTATCCGAATCTCCCGGGGTAGACTTGCCTCCAGAAAAGAGGACAGGGGTACCGGTTATAGTAGATTGAGGAGCAAGGTCCGGGAATGAGAATTCAGGTTTGGATAAAGATTACACAGAGACGAGCAGAAGATTGGCAGCTACAGGCAAACAGGAGGCTGATCAGAAGTCGCAGAGACACACACATGCAGGAGCAAAGCAGGCTGGCTTAGGCCAGAAAACGTGCACTGTCCCCTCTCCCGTCCTCTGCTCTGGGCAAGGTCGGCCCTGGCCCACACACGGTCCTGCGAGTCAGGACACAACGATGTCTTCTAAGCACAGAACAGCAGCAGAAACACCCAGGGACCCAGGACAGCATTCTAAGGCTGAACACTTAGTATTTCAAAGGCAACATTCTGGAAGAATCTTTTTGCTCTCTAATTCTCTAATGATTTATGCCTCAAAGAAAATTCCACAGTGACTCCAAGCTTTGCAAACAGTAGTTGAAGGTGCATAGAAAAGGATGTTTTATCCACATGGGACGGGAAAAGAACAGACTCTCCTATAACAGTCCACTTAGCCAGACCTGCACACATTTAGCGACCCTCAAGAAAAGCACCATTTTTAGGGCGAACAAAACTCCTTTTAGGATACTCAAACAGCGCCATTCTCTGAGTAGGCGTTTTCATTTTTTACAGGTATCACACCATAAATTGCAAAGTATCATGGCCAGGCGGGTGTCCCACAAGGGGAGTCATCTAGTCTTGCGCGACTCCGCAGCTCTGCAGACGGGCGAGGCGACTCTGCGCAGACTGACTGCCCCGTGTGCAGCCCCAGGCCAGGACTAGAAGAAAAGTCCTCAACACCCGGGCTACTTCTCAGTTGTACCAGAAGAAAGCTACCACCCAAGAAGAAAGGCTGATGGTGTCAGTGGGAGAACCTGAGGGAAAAGAGGCTGCGGGCTTTTCCCTCAAAATGAACTACGCAACTTGCTTCTACCCATAGAGTAAATCAATCAAAAGTATCCCCGACTCTATTTTAAGGCTTTGAACCTTAAACTAAAAGTGGATTGCTTATAAACAACTCTGGTGGTTAAAGAGCATAGGAAATCCTTTCTCAATATATAATTAGCAAGAGCTAGAGTCACCAAAATGAAGAACTACTTTAGATAGCTTTAAATATCCAGATCAACATTTTGTATTGTGCTTTATAAACAAATAAGGAAAACCAGCTATTACCATAGTGGACAGATCGCATCATAATCAGTGAACTGTCAAAATAAAAATGCTGTAAAAAGAAAACTCACTTTGATGAAAATCAAAAAGGACATGTATAATAGTTACATGAAAGCAAAACTGTTAATTCAGAGGAGAAAGTATCTTGTGTTTTTATTATTCATCTTAGAGCTTCAATGAGTGATGAGCAATACAGAAAGCACATTAAAATTTTGACTAATGCGGTAAACTGATAAAGTTGAGAAGAGATAGAAAGTGGTTTGCAAAAAACTGACAAAAGAAAAAGGACAATGCTTTAGGAAGACAGGAAAGTGACTAAATTTACAAAAGAGAAATACTATCTAATTTAAAAATGTACAGATTGTGAGTGTACATTTTTAAAAATAAATGTACATTTAAATAAAAAATGTACATTTTTAATATACATTAAAAAATGAGGGGCTATTTTTATTATTATACCAGAGGAAATTTGAATTCTGTAACACGCTTCTAGAAAAGATCAAAAGCTCACAAAGAATGTATTTACACTTACTTCATCAAAGCAATTAATTTAAAGAAAGAGAAAGGCAGAGGATTGATTAATTGTACAAGTAAAATTGACCAAAGCAATATTCTCATACAGCACGGCCCCAACTGTAATTAAACTTTCCATTGATTTCCTGGGACTCATTACATGGAATCATTTTGCAACACCAGGATCTCATTAAAAGTGAATGTAATATATTCTTTCATTAATAACACTTGAAATTATATTTTATTTGGTAATCTCATATTCTGTCCCTTTACAAATAAACATAAAATCAATGGTGCCAACGAAGCGTGTCCCATCCAGTGGAGGCCCAGAGGCGCTGTTCTGGCTCTGGAGACCCAAGGA